CGATTTCGATTTCTGTGTCAAATGATCTTCAGACTCATATAATCAAGTTGAAATGATTTAAAGCTTAACAATGTTTATTTTGGGATTTTTAAAAATATAAATAAGTATATTTATTATATTTTTTAAATATACAGAGATTGTAGAACATCTTATTTTGGATACACTCATATTTTTCTATGTTCAAAGTATATTTTATTAATTTTATGTTTTATACATCGCAAAATTGTTCTAAGGTAAATATTTGTAGCCTATATTTATTTTAATTTTGAAAGTTTTGCATAAATTATCAAGAGAAATGCTGAATAAATGCATTGTGTAACTAAAAAAATAATTAGTGATTTCAATATTGACCAAAATAATCATGATAATGATTTGTTGCATAATCGCACAGCCCTAGAGTGAAGATGTTATTGCTTTATTATTGAGTGTTTCCCAGTATGGGATTAAACTCTTCTATCTTCATGGAGACCAAACCAGATCAAGTTACAGGTCAGATCTGTGGAGAGGCGACACATACCTGTTTTTCTAGGTATTTTTGAGCTACAAAACCTCCTGTCATTGAATAATTGTAAGGTAGAGCAGTTTAATGTCATACTATGGAACATTCCAGGCAGCACAATGACGTATCCATAGAAACAAGCAGGTGACGGACCCCCCAACCGAAAAGTTACATGGTGCACCTTTAAAAAGCATGGCGTCTTAAATGAAACGAGATCTGTTTTTCATTTCCAACTATAAATAATAACCGGAATTATGAAACATTTTGAGATCAGACTTGGACTTCAAAAAACCTTTTATTGCAGAGTTTGAAACCTGTCTCTGCTGGCTTCTGTCTCCGTGGTAACCATTACGTGTGCGAGCTGCCATCTTGAAGAGCTGTATTTGCTAAAGGCTTTTTTCCTTTGGCTTTTTGCCTGCAGAAAAACAACAATTTGAAAGGAAATGATTGTATTATATGAAGGAGCTTTAGTACTTTAGTATAACATGGATGCATCTTTAAATGGAAGCTACTTGTGGCTACCAAACTACCACATGTACATCCATTAGACTAAAGATTAAAGGGGTCATTTTTGGTAGGGAGTCACTCAGTTATTGTTCTGTCTGGAATGTTCCACAGTATAGCAGGAGATTTATGGCATTTATTCAGTTACAGGGAAAAATAAATAAAACATCCATTCTTACTGTGAGTAGGCTTGCCACTCCATAGACCTGACTTATAACTTGGCTTGATAGACTCACTTGCTTGACTCAAGGAAGATAGATCGAGTTTAATGCCGCATTATGGATCATTCCTAGTCAGGCTGGTGCTACCTAGTGTCTCCGCTCAATTTCATTTCTCTCCAGCGTCAGGAATCAGAATACACTAGACGGTTTGCAAGAATCCCGGAAGTTGTAGACCACACACCAGCCAATCAGTGAAGATCTGTGAAGCCATGATGTCAAACTCAAACATCTGTCTGGGTCCCTTTTGTGGTACAGTGCAACAGTAAACAAAGCGGTCGAGATGGATGTAGACGAAGACAGACATTCTGTGTTGGCAACGATTCCCAAGATCGAGGATTAAAAGCCGGAACAAAGAGAATGTTTGGGGAAAAGGGTAAAGACATTATTGCCCTTCTTCCTACAGGATTTGGCGCATTACATACATCACAACCAAATAGCAGCGATTGGTTAAATAAAAAATCTACTCTCTTACCGTCAAGTGAACGACTCCTAATGCTGTGAGGTCAGACAGTTTCCACGAAGTGAAACTGGCTGATGAATCAGGCTAGAACATTCCTGGCAAAGCAATAACATTTCTCTGGTGGTGAGAAGACCCTTCACCAGCACGCCACACTATTATGGCTGGGCTATATCCAAGTTAGAAGTGCACTGTGTAACTTTTAGCAAGCAGTTGATGGACTTTTAGGGGTCCAACACCTGCTTGTTTTATGGATATGTCACTGTTCTGCCTGGAATGTTCCAAAGTATGACATTAAACAGCTCTACCTTACATTTATTCAATTACAATTGATTTTACGGCTCAAAATACCAAGAAAACTGACATTATGAGCGTGAGCGTGGTTGCGTATTCACAGATCTGACCTATAACTTGGTTTGATCTCCATGAAGATAGAAAGGTTTAGACAAAGCAATGCCATCTCCACAGAGAAAAGCATTTGACGGACCCTCCCCCAGAAAAGTGACACAGTGCACCTTTACCAAGTTCAATCTATTCAAATCTATAAACAGCCTTAACAGCATCATATTTATTTAGTATTTCTGAAATCGTCTGTACAAATCCATTAGCCGCAGCTTTTCATTGTGTAAAAACATTGACCTCTGCAGTCGCTTTCGTGTCTCTCAATGATAATTTTGTCTCATCACAGCTCCGTCTCCATGGCAACAGAGCACTTAATCAAAGCGCCTCAGTCTCCTCCTCAGAGCAGCTTAACGTCGTTGTTTACATCTGTCACCTTCTCTAGAAATAGCTTATAATAGACAAAAGCTTAAAAGTCACTTTCTCGACAAATATTTCAATATTCAATAAACTGTGATTAATCTGACCTTAATACAGTCAATGGAATAAGATTAAAAAGCCATTTAAAGGTGCACTGTGTGACTTTGTGGAGATGATATTGCTTTGCCTTGAATGTCCCATAGCGTAACCTTAACACTGAATCTTACATTTATACAGTTACAGGTGTTTTTGTTGCTCACAAGTGCAACATAAAACATAAATTCATACTGTAAACAGGGTAACATCTCCACAGATCTGACCTGTAACTTGGCCTGGTGGCGTTACTCGTCTGTTAACATGGAAATAAATATGCTTAATGACCCCCACCACAAAAGTTACTCAGTGCTAGCCTGATTCATCAGCTGGTTTCACTTCTTGGAAACCGTCTGACCTCGCAGCATTAGGATTCATTCGCTGGACAGTAGGCGGGTACTTTTTTTATTTAACCAATCACTGCTATTTGGTCCTGACGTATGTAATGCTCTAAATCCTGTAGAAAAAAGGGCAATAACATCTTTCCCCTTGATAAAATTCACCAAACATTCCCTTTGTTTCGGCTTTAAATCCTCGATCTTGGGAATCGTTGCCAACACAGTCTATCTTCGTCTACATCCATCTCGACTGCTTTGTTTACTGTTGTGCTGTTCCACAAAAGGGACACAGACAGATGCTTGAGTTTGACGTCATGGCTTCACAGCTCTTTGCTGATTGGCCGGTGTGCGGTCTACAACTTCCGGGGTTCTTGCAAACCGTCTAGTGCAAACGTGGGCAAACTTTTTGACTCATGGGCCACAAAGGGTTCTAATATTGGACGGAAGGGCCAGACCAGGGGCAGATGGATGGAGTTTTCTTGGTAATCCATCTCATAAGAGAAAAAAATATCCTATGTTATTGAAATATCACATAACTGAAAATCATCACAAAGCATTACAACAAAATATCTGTCTTTCAAGTCCCACGGTATTTACTATTTATTGAAGTGACTTTTAAAACACTGAAAATTATTATTATTGTTCAAGTTCTGTGAGTCAGATTAAAAAGAATAAAGGGCAACATATGGCCCCTGGGCCTTAGTTTGCCCACTGCTGATCTAGTGTATTCCGACCTAGTCGCTGGAGAGAAATGACATTGAGCAGAATGCACCTTTAAAGAGAAAAATGATGAAATATGATTCTGTGAAAGGGAGTCCATACACACAAACTGTCAGATATGTTGCTGGGAAACTGTTCTTCTGTCTATAACAAGGTCTACTCAAAACTACATTGGTGAAAACAAACTTGGGTGGTTAGAAGTATTAAAATTCAAGTACTAATCGATGACAAAAACTAGTATCAAAACTAGTTACTCCTTTGAGCAGGTATTGATATTAAAAAGCCACGTGAACCAGACACAAATTAAGCTTTTCCTGAACAGTTTTAGAATGATCTTGAGCTGTATCAGAATAAATATAAGAGCACATAGACTAGTATACACCCATAAACGACTGAAGGATTACACAGATATAAGACCACATGGAAATCTAAAAGAAAGTACTATGATTTAATGTTGAAAATCACATTCTATTATCTAAAGAAAGTGTTTTTATATACTTGTGGTTAGGGGTGGGCGATATCTCGATATTTTTAATATATCGAGATTTTTTTTAAACTCGATATGAATTCTGACATATCGTATATATCGATATAATGCTTATATTCAATTTTGATTTCGCCGCTTTGCTTGTTTGTCTTCTCTGTCGTCACCCGCGCGCCCCTGCCTTGCCTCCCTGATTTTGTTCGCTCGTGTCTCATTCACTCGTCACTATCGCCGTGAACGCCGAAAGTTGGTGCCAGTGAAAAGCTTCTAGCGCCACGAAACTTTTCCACCATTTACAGACAAAACCATCAGCAGCACATATTCCACCGAGTCGTGTCCTTTAGTCCAAAAGAAGTTGAACTGCAAGAGCGGCACGTGGAGTGCGCTGTTTATGCAAATTAGCCATGGCTTTTTAAGTTTCGTTTCTGTAGAACGTAAACAAGTCTGCACAAAGCTGCAAAAAAAATAAAATAATAATAACATAAAATAATTATTTTATATTTCTTTTATTTGACAGTTAAATTATTATTTATGTAATTAGGGTTTTTTGTAATCTTAAATGTTCCTATATGAACTGCTGACCTCTTACACTTTAATTTAAAAAAAAAGGACCTTGTGGAATTTGGCATATTTGTTTTTGCAATTTTCCGTTTTAGGGGGTTATTTTTTCCTGTACAGATATCGAGATATATATCGTATATCGAGATATAGCAAAATATATCGAGATATATTTTTTGATCCATATCGCCCAGCCCTACTTGTGGTCTTGGAATCTGTATTGAGTATCAAGTCTATTCCTTAATATCGAGATCGAGTTTGAAATTTTTGTATCGTGACAACACTTTTGTTTCATTATTTGCAGCTAATTCATCTACACTGTGTTCTTGGTGTGTTTTGAGCCTGTATTTCCTGTCTCTTCCTGCAGATGGCGCACCTCTGAGCGAGCTGTCCTGGTCCTCGTCTCTGGCTGTGGTAGCTGTCTCTTTCTGTGGACTCTTCACTCTGGTTTTCCTCATGCTGGCCTGCCTCTGCTGCAAGAAGCGCACCAAGGGATTCAAGGTAATACTGTAAACGAATCTGGAACGCCAAAAAAAAAAAAAAAATGTGGTTAAAGCTTCTGAAATATTTGATGAGAAGGACTGGGAATAAAAGGGATGTAAGGAATGCTGTGGTGAGTTTACAGGAGATGCAAAAATGTATTCCCGCTCAAATTACTTTTTGGCATAGATTTGTCCTCAGAGATACATTTTCACAAACAAAGAGCAAAACATGTAAAAACTCCTTAAAAAAATTAAATAGTTTAATGATTTTATACCATTTCTGCAGTAAAATTAATTCTAATGATAAAAGACTGGGCTTTTTTCTTTACGAACAACCAGTGGTGGAAGGAAATGAGGTACAAAAGTAAAAGTATAAGACTTGCAATACAAATTTTGGGTATTTGTACTTTACTTAGGTACATTTTACAGTGGATACTTTTTACTTTTACATCACTACATTTGAGAACATCTATCTGTATTTTCTACTCCAAAACATTTTAGATTAGACTGAAAAGTAAAAAAATACTTTTCTTTAAGGCTTGGGACTTTATTTTTTATCACATTTAATTTTTGTTTTTAGTTTAGTTTTAGTTTTTATGTCCCAACTTTGAACAAACCAGATACACAAAAACAAAACAAAAGAGCTAGAAAACTTAAGAAATCAATTGAATCACTTAAAATCAGCTAAATTCTTGATCAGAATCACTCAATTTCCTCCTTAAATTGTTCTAAAAATCTCAGCAAAATACTTTCATTTTTATTTTTTATTTTTACAATTTAAGTACCTTTATTTAATACTTTTACTTAAGTAGATTTTCTCATGTGATGCTTTTACTTTTACTTGAGTAACTTTTTGCTTCTGTATCTGTACGTTTATTTAAAGGTACACTATGTAACATTTTGATTAGGGGTCCGTCATTTGCTTGTTTCTATGGATATGTCATTGCTCTGCCTGGAATGTTCCACAGTGTGACATTAAACAGCTCTACTTTACATTTATTCAGTAACGGGTGTTTTTTTTTGCTCAAAAATATTTTGAAAAACAGTTATTCTGAATGTGAGCGGGGTTGCCTCTCCACAGATCTGACCTGTGACTTGATCTGGTTCAGAAAGGTTTAATGCCATACTGTGAAACATTCCTGATAAAGCAATAACATCTCCGTGGAGAAAAGCATTTGACGATCCACGAGAAAAGTTACACAATGCAAAATCAAGTAAAAAAATTAGTTTATCCACCACTCCCAATAACTAAACGTGAATATTTTAGTTTTTTGAATACTTTAAACTACATTTTTATCCCTGTATTTGTACCTTAATACTAGCGAGTTTTAATGTAACAGTCGCCGGCCTGTTGTTGATAAAATGGACACATGGAGCTGAATATTTATGTCAGCGTGTCACATACCATGAATCATTGTGTGTATCGTAATCGAATGTTCATGCAGACTCATCCAACATCACAGGCCTGTTTACAAATGATCAGATATAATAAGAAACTGTAATCTATAAACTATATTCCAATTTAAGAGCACTTTATGTAACTTTTTTTCTGGTGGGGGGTCTGTCACCTGATTGTCTCCAAAGAGGTAGTTAGTATTGCTGGATTTCAGATGCATCACAACATCCTATAGGCCAATAATATTTAATACAGATGGGTGCAGCTCAAATAAATACAGTTAAATGTAGGTTTTTGTTGTAATATATCAAGGTATTGGGTCTAGTAACCGATAGAAAAGATTACATTAAACATTTGTGAATAAACTTTTTGGATATTTTATGACAAAGTACAAGGGAAAACTGTTTCTTGTCTGGAATCTGAAAACCGTCCATTAGAGTTATTGCCCTGTCTAGACATTAAACTTCTCCATCTGAGAAAATGACGCCACGGGGCCATGTCACAGGTCATATCTGCAGAGACGATGTGCTCACAATAAGAAAGACTGATTTGTGAGGTATTTCTGAGCAATAAAACTGGGCTGTGATTAAATAAGTGCAAAAAAAAAAAATCCTAATGTGTTCTGTAACCGTTATATCTTGTTTAAACAACTTTGAAAAAATATATATTACTGTATTTTTTGGACTATAAGGCGCAATATCAATAATGTTGAATTTTCTCATCCATTTTCATACATAAGCTGCACCGGATTATAAGGCAAAACAAACGGACGGCACTTGAGACTGATCCTTTAGCCCAGGCGTCCACGATCCATTGGCAGATCGTGGTGTAATTTGCCCGATGAATGTGGATTATGAATGTGAATGTGGGTGGATCACTTAAGTTTGTTTTTTTATGTCCTACAAGGAGGACTCAAATATACACTGAGTAATAATGTGTTTAATGCAGCTTTGTGCACGTTTGTTTACGTTTTACTGAAACAAAACTGAAAACCACATGGCTCATTGGCATAAACGATAAGCGCTGAAAAAAACTGCTCGCTCCTTGTGCGCTGATGCGGTTCAACTTCTGTTGGATTAAAGGACATGATTTACACCGCAAGACTCCTGACTGCAGTAGCTGTAATGCTCAGACAATCCATCAAGCAGAGCAGCTTTGTAGTTTACCAAAGTTGTACTAAAACATTTTGACAGCTTTTTGAGCGCTGTGTACCACATAAAATCAGTTTGAGGTCAGTAAACACAACCAGAATTAATACATAAGGTGCACCGGATTATAAGGCGAACTGACGATTTATTTATTTATTTTATTTATATTTATTTATTTATTTCGGTCACAGGTATATTTTGACATTAATTCACAGACAGTTATATTTAACATACACAGACCGAAAAGGAGCAGGCTGAAGCTTAAACTTATTATGCTTACCCTTTATTCCTTTGTCAGAGCGTCATCTTGACACCAGTTCATCTTCAAAAATACAGCAGGAGGAAACAAACTAATCAGTAACAGAACAACAAAGTGCTACAGCACAAACTAAGTATCATATTTCATGTAACTGACAATTTTTGAGAAAATTAAAGGATTTTAAGTGCACCTTATAGTCCAAAAAATACGGTAGGTGTTTATTCTAGCATTTTTCAGTAAATCGTCTCATTACACACATTAATAGACCAAATTAGGACGTCGACGGAACTGAACTGAACTCAAAACTATAAAAATGTTCACTATCTACGCTGATATCTGGTAGCAGTACTGTATCAGCGTATCCCCAGTATTTTAGTGAATTACTGAGATCGAAAGGGCATCTGACATAAAAAAAAAAACCTTCCAAATCATTGTGCATCTTGACTTTGCTGTTATAATCAATCTTAAAACATATGGGCAGCCTGTGGTCCATTAAAATATGTAATTCCCCCACTTTTTCATTTTGGTGAGAACTGCCAGCTATTATTACACAGAGTAGGTGTCCTTCGTATCACATCTGTGGGTCCAGTCGGGTTGGGTGTGTCGTGTGGAGGTGGGGTGGGAGAGGGGAGGCAGATTTTGGGGGAAGGGGGCTGGGGTTGGGGGTTGGTTACCCATGAGGCCGTGGTGCATCCGGCCTCGGGGCCTCATCTGGTCTTAGACTGAGCCGCTCCCAAAGCAGGAAATGGGAAAATCAGAGAAGAAAACAGCTCTCTGACAGTGTTTTATTGAGGTTTGGGGAATTCTTAAGATTTCAAGACAAAATCCCCCAAAATACAAGAACAGTGTTAGACATAAATCTGACTTTTGGGATGTATTTTTGCATTTCAGAGTATAGTATAATGATCTGTAGCCTTCCTTGGGCCTGCGGGTACAAGACAGAGTGAAAGAGTTCATTGTTGAGGTATTAGTATGCAACAATCTCCAAATCTCTCGGTACGATATTTATTGCGATATTTTGAGGCGGTTAACACAATTTTTCACACTTTTTCCTTTTAAAATGTCATGTCAAGCCTTTGGAACTGCTATAAAACAAAGAATTAAGATTTAAAAGTGCTTAATAGCAAAGGATCATGGTCTATGTAGTTCCCTCCTTTTTTTTTTAGCCATTACTGCACCACAACAATGAATTTAAGCAAAGGGACTTGTAATTCGATATATTGTGATGGCCCACGGTATTATTGTGAAACTTTTGACGATACGATTTTCGATATTTCGGTTATTGTTACATCTTTAGTTATGAGCATTAGCGATCGACTGACGTGATATACGCTGTTTAGAATCCAGAGCGACCAATGAACGATAAACTGTGCAGATATTTTTGGGCTGATATATGGATAAGATTTTGATTATTTTCCACAATTTATATAATTTAAATTGACTACAAACTCACCCACAGTCTCCTTTCACTACAAACCTTTTAGAGAGCTGTGTAGTTACAGTTCTGTTTTGTGTTCAAATTAGAATAAATAGCATTTTGGGCCCCAGGTTATGGTTGATGGTTCAGTATTTAATAACAGGGTAAGAACAATTTTACTGACCTTATAGGGGAATTTGTCATATGTGTTTTGGTATGCAAGATTTTGAGGTATGTTTGTGGTTGGGGTGTCCAAAAATATCAAAATATCGTATTGCTTAATGTGATGATACAGTATCGATATCATAGGCTGCTGCATCGACAAATCGCCAAGAGTATTTTCTTGGTTTATTTTACTTATTTTTCTGTTATTATTCAATGCTTTTCTGCTAATGATTAATATTTCATTTTTATTATTATTACACTGTATGTTGATTGTCTTTGTTTTTTGAATTATGGGGTTTTGAGTGCACTGTTTCACTCTTGGGTGCTTGCCACACCCTATTTAAGATGGCCAAATGAGCTCTCATTCGGTTTGCCTGATGAAGGTCTAGTGCCGAAACATTGTACGGTTTGTCCTAATAAATCTCACAATTTGCAAGTAAAACGGTTTTCTCTATGGTTTATTTTACAAAATTATTTTGTTACAGCGCTACAGTTTTGTTGCTTTTTCAGAGGAAGGAAACTCGTTTATGCGACACATTTGACATTTTCACTGTTTTGATGAGTAAAATCTGAAAAATGTGTTTCATATGAACTTCGCCTAACAAAGACTTTCAGTATGACAGCCATGATTTAG